ACTTCCAAGCCTGCAACGTAAAAATAACTTTTCTCCGAGACAGGATTCTATTTTACACCGAAAAAGTAGCCATTTTTGAAGTGGTTCTTAGTATTTACTCTGAATTTTATCAAATTGGAACACCACATTTTAGTTTGGAAGGCGTTATTCTCACTACATGCATAATTAGCGCATCGCGGAAGTTGATTTACTCCCTCAAATTCCACCATGCTTTTATGCCCTAAGGCGGGCATGATGCTTTGCGGTCTCTTCATTTAAATTACCGGGTTTTGCCTTCGGTGATCATTGTCATTTTTCCGGCGTTCCGGTGGAGGAAGGTTTTGTCGCCCCACCCTCCTCCCCTGGTGCCGGTTGACGGTGCTACCCTCGTTTCTCGCTACATACCTTAGCTGCCTTAGTAGTCGCGGACTCCTCCCATAACTTAGTCTACCGCGATGTGGTAATAGGTATGCATTGAGGATATATCACAATTCTCTCAACTGGGACAAAAATATGTGGCCGCTATAGAAAGGTGGTCGTTGTAAGGAGGTGGCCGCTAGTAGAGGTTCGACTGTATACCTGTGTTCAACGGACACCTTTGTTAAGCAGACGCGGACATCTTAAACCTGACTTTTGTGATCATTTCTATTGTTAAAAAGCTGTATTAAACGGACACTGCTAAAATGATGCATTTTAGCCTCTTCACGGCTAACGGTTCACATGGCAGTTCTGGGCGTGCTACACCCGCGATATGTAACGAACGAAGGTTGCGCGACATAACATATCACGCGATTGACTTGTAAATACTCAAATTAACAAATTGACGTCCGTTTTTTTACGCGTCTGTCCTCTTATTGATAATAAATTGCGTCATAACATTGTGGAAGTGACTGTGGAACCACAAGCCGCAGGCGAGTGGTTCTGCAGTAAACTTTCACAATGTTATGACGAAATTTATCATCAACAAGAAGACAGACCCATAAAAAACTGACGTCAATTTGTGTTTTTTTACAATAACAAGATCCCAAAATGGTCAAATGCCGGGAATGAAATAATAAGGGGTAAAGACGCCGTAAACTTGCCGTAAACAAAGATAAGTGAATTTTATTCAAAATGACGGGAACATTGTCAATAGCTTTTCTCGCTTTTTGATTGGCTACTTAAAAAAGTCCATAAATCTCATTGGTTAAAAAATTGAAAGTTTGACAGCTGAAAATTGAACTTGAAAGCTTGCATAAATTAACATTTTATCCATCTGAACACTTATTGATGAAAAAATGAGCCAATCAGCGCGCTAGAAATTAGACAGTTATTGTAAAAATGTCGATTTAACAAATTGAATGTGGTTTAGCGTGGCCTTTGCTCATATCGACAACGATATGCGTCATCACAGGGGGTCAAAATGTTGTGAGCTGAAGAGCCGCAGCCGAGTGAGTCCACAACAAATTTTTGACCACTGTGATGACGCATATCGTTGTCGATAAGAGTACAGACCACGCTAAACCACATTCCATTTGTTTTTTACCACAATATCAACGTCAAAGAAATTTTTTTTCAGAGCGTGACACATTGATGCAAGCAAATTAGCCAATCAGATTGCGAGATTAGTAACAATTGTGGCGCTCAAGTGTTCCACCTAAATAAGCTAGCAGCATTGTCTGGACTGTTATCGACAACGATTAGTTGCAATTGTGGTAAAAATAATTATTTATAAAGTAATCACTGTTGTAAAATTATCCTGTCACGCAACAAACAAACTCCTCAAAATCGTTGTGAACACCCTTTCATCATCTGTATTATTTGAACATGTCCGTTTCAAATACCATGAGTTGGCTTAGAGATTCTTTGGTTGTACGTAATGCCCACTTCTTTGACAAGTGGGTAAATTGCTAGAAAATTATCGTTGGAATTGCCATAAATGGTACCGGTCATATTCAGAAGCAGACTTTATTTTCTTTAAACCTTTTAAGGTTACCGCATATCTTTAGAGGTGTGTCGCGTCCAAGCAATGTAGCGCGTTCGCTTTGAGCTGTGTATTCCTTTACCAAGAACTTTGAAATAAAATGAATTTTTGAATTTTTAATAATATTAGCACGAGAAGTGAATTGTCAAATGAGGAAATTTTGGACACTGAGCTTCCATTTTGTGCGCTTGTTTTTTTTGTCCGCTTGATCACAGAAGATTCAGCTCCAAATACAGACGTTACCTCTGCATGTTGTCTAGAATCCATGAATACAACATGTCTCAGAGCTGATACAGGATTTCATAGTTTTCCCGAAACTAAAAGTTTCACATAACTAAGGAATTTGCTACATAGTTGTTGAAGAATGTTGGATAGCATCACTGAGCTTGCTGATTGGGTTTTATGATCGTGGGAGATTAAGACCAGGGACCCGTTTCTCGAAAGCCCGGAAACTTTTCGGGTCCATAAAGCCATTTGCATCTAAAAACGGCCGGAGAAGTGTATACGCCTGAAACTTCTTGTATGAACGGAACCTCTGCTCATATTAAGAATACGTGAATAAAACAGCTTTGTAATCATAAGGTTCGAGATTTTGCTATGGCTCTCTGGGTGCGAAAACTTTTCGGGACGTTCGAGAAACGGGCCCCAGACCAGTTATGGCCAACAGTCTCCAAACTAAAAAGTCAGTCAGTGTGTTTTTTTTTTCGCAAATTCTTATTAAAGAACCAACCTGAAGTAAACAACGTCGAAATTGTTTTCGTCGATGACGTTGTACATCACTCCAGGGTGTCCAGAGTTCACGCCATCCACTCCAACCACATTCGTGATTTCAACTGTCATTGTATACGGTTCACCATCATTAATCTCCACTTGTGAAATAACGCGGCAGAAGCCATCAGCAGGCCAGGAACCATGATCAGCGTTCACCTCATAGAAATATGTATCGATATCGAATATTTTTGTAACAGCGACACAGGCTACCACTGTCGGAGGTTCAGCTACAGACAGACAGACAAATGAAACAGAAATTGCGTAGACGACCGATTTGTTAGTATACCTGTTTCATGGAAAGAAAATTTTTGCTGCACAGTTAACTGGATTAAAAGAAGACATTTTGTTCCTGTCAATAGTTTTTTTCACACAGTGGCAATTGTCACACAAATGGGGTGAAAAAGTATTGTTAACTCTTGCTTCATTTATGAATGCAGTTCTTCAGTCAAACGTACTCGACCCTATGTTATCATTACATTTACGCTGCCAGCAAGCTTCCATTCTTTAAACAGTGTTGTTAGCAATTATCGAATAACACCAGCCTGCTTATCAAGGTTTCTCTGATAAAAAAACGTTTTTGAATTTATATATACTGTGAAACAATCAAAGTAATCGTTACTTGCAATCATGGTTATCTTTGCAAATACCAACACTGAATTCTAATGTAGAATTTTGAAACGCATTATCGTGCGACTCGGAAAAAACGGACTTCCGTGTCAATCTTGCCCTTGCAAGGACCATTAATTTAATTTGGGAAAACGAATGGTGCTCCATTAGAGAAGTTTTCTTCTGACGGGTAGGTGGGTAATAAGATTCGTATCTTTCAAGTCTTCAGTAGCTCGTGGTACCGTTACTGGAGCAAAACAAAAGCGCCTGCTAGATGATACTCGCCCCAGACTTCTTCGCGTTTCTAAAGTGGTGAATGCACTGTAGAGTGAGAATACGTAAAAATGGAAAGCTGAGATGTCTTTAGAGTTCAGACATACCTGTGCAATCCACTCCGTCTCCAGTGTATCCAGGTTTACAGTTACAGAGAAACGATCCTGGTACGTTGGCGCATATTGCATTTTGTGAACAGTTGTGGCCGCCGATTAGACATTCCTCAATATCTGCAAAGTCGATAAAATACAATTGCCAAGTTAGCTGTCCATAACTGTTCTCCATATTATCAGTTTTACTTGCTTAAATGCAGTAAGATAAACGAGAATCATTTTAAGCGCACGTAAATAACGCGACAGTGAAAGTCCAGCGATACTGAATGAAGGCAGAATAGAGTCACGAAATTGCCGGCCAAAGAGACCACTGCTATTAACTCCTGATTTGCAAAAATATTACTCACCTAACTGGCATTTATCTCCATGGAAACCGTGAGGACAAAGGCATCGGTAGCCTTCTTCACCATATCCTGTCTGACAGGTCGAATAACTCGCACAAGGACTGGTTACACAGACATTCTGCAATGGGTACTCATTAACAATTAGATTATGAGCTCGAGATTTCTATGAGATGATAGTTGATGAAGCCGAAGGCCGAATCAACTATCCCTCATAGAAATCGAGAGCGAATAATCTAATTGTGTTAGTAGAATTCTTACTAAAATTTACTTCAAATAACAGTTTCCGATTATTTCTTGACGTATTATTAAACTTTGCAACTGAAAAAGATCGCTCGGATTGAATTGCCATTTAATAGTTGCGTGCGTGCGTGCGTGCGTGCATCAGCTTTTTCAATAATTTGGACTTTTTTAAAAGTCAAGAAACCGTAAATGTCCTTCGTTTAGACTTCTCAGAAATTTAGTTATCCATTTGCATCAAAAGTTTCCTCCAATTATTTGGAAAAACGAAAAAAACGTCGCCATTTCCAAGACGACCTCCAGCCACTGCACACTAATGGCTGATAGTGTACAATGGCTCAGCCAATCAGATTACAGCATTTGCATTAGTATACTAGTAGAATTCTGCTAATTAACAATTAGATTATGAACGCGAGATTTCTATGAGGTGATAGTTGATAAGGCCGAAAAAATTCTAACTGAAATTTCCTTCGAAAAACGATTCCAACTATTTCTGGTCTGAGTATTAAACTTCACGCTTTAGACAATTCGCGCAGACTGAATTAATTGTCAATTTGACATTTGCAGTTGTGTACGCACGCTTATCAGTATCTTTCAAAACTTTCGATCTTTTTTAATTCAAGAAACCGTAAATGCCCTCCTTTTAGTCTTCTCGGGAAGTTTGTTTATTCATTTGTTTCTAAATGTTCTTTCAAAACGTCAGAGAAACGAGGAAACGTTGCAATTTTGTCGACCACACCAAGCCACTGCACACTAATAGCTGATAATTAGCAATGGCTCAGCCAATCAGATTACAGCATTTGCATTAGTATACTAGTAGAATTCTCCTAATTTGTATTATTAACTCACTAACTTTCATTCACTCAGTCATTCAACAGGGGGACTTTAGATTTGAGTACGAGAACGATTTCTCAATTCTAGTTTTCGGGTTTCACATTATCACAACACATACCCATCTTTTCCCATAAGCTACCCTCTCTGCCTAAAACAAGCATGAAGAACTAGGGCTCTGGAAACGTCACAGATTTGAAAATCGAAAATCGTACTCGTACTCGATCTCGCACTCGTAGTCCAATCTAAAGCTCCCTAATATTGACAGAAAATTAATACAAAGGAGAGTGGAGCTAATTATCAACGCTAAGCTACTTTTTTTTTTTCTTTTTTGGCTTATCTAAGAAATTGCCCAATTTTTTCAAGTTCTGCAAACTCTCAAGGATTCTTTCTATCACTCGTTAGTATAAATCTACTAGCGTTCTACTACGAATGTCTTCTCTGATTGGCTACGCACCCACTATCTATTAAACAATTAGATTATACGCTCATTATTTCTACCGCATGATAGTTGACGAGGGCGCAGCCCTCGTCAACCATCACGCATAGAAATCAAGAGCGAATAATCTAATTGTTTTAGTATAAATCTACTAGTCGTTCAAAACTTTATCAAAATCCTCTTCACAGACACTTCGAAAACGCCAAGAAGCGGCCCTTATTTTTTTAGCGAGGGCACACTGCCCTTGCTAAAAAAATAATAATTTTTTAATATTCTCATATTAAGTTTTTAATTGTTTCGATTTTTTCCGAGCACTTTTATCATGAGTTCCGATCCTGGCTCGCGAAAATGGGAAATCACTTCCAGTGTCACGACTTTAAATAAATTATTACTATTACTGCTAAAATTATTACCATTACTTCTAAACTTATTACTATTACTATTAGATAGTAGATAATAAACATACAAAACACGTTTCTGATATATTGACCCCTCACATCGCTGCTTCAATCTACTTACCGGAGTAACAGGTCTGTATATAAAGCCACGTCTCGCCTCCAGCTCATCAGAAGGGACTTGCAAGTGATTCTTGTCACTAAGCTCGCATAGATAAAGCTCATCTTCCGCTGGGCCGTAGTTATAGGACACACAGTTTGCTTCCAGGTAGCAATTTATCTCGCAATTTTCCTCGTTAAGTACCCGCATGCTTTTGGTGACGTGTGAGCTAAGAACCATATTTTCTATCTTTTCTCTGAATTCAATATTCCGACAGTCGTCTAAGAGAAAACAGTTACTGCATTTTTAGCTGCATAGGCGTAGTTTACAGTATATAAATTTACCGATATTGACTTAACGTAAGATCGAGATAGCGGTCTATACTTACTGCCGGGACCTCTCGACCGCGAAACCTGAAAAAGTTTTTGTGCAATGCTGATTACGTCAAACTCTAAGTCATTTGAGCCAAACTCTGACAACTCTCCACAGATCACGAATGCCTATGGTCGGACTAGCTAGAACCCCATCACAGCTGGCTTACAGACTGAACAAGTTTCAGTTTCCCAAATTCTACTATTCGACTTCATGGTTTAATTTCTAGCGCAAGTAATGTCAGCTCGATGTTAAAAAACGCGTTTTACTTGAATTGAGATTTCTCATTACGGCCTTCTAACGGGCGAAATAACGGATTATGTTATGGTAACGCTAGAGAAAAATCACATCACAATACTGGTTTTACAACATCTAGCAATTTGGCAGGGTAAGAAGGTATGAAGCAAATTTGTTCAATTATCGCCCAGAAAGAGGGGACAAAATGTGCCTTAACTAAAAAATAGGGCTCGTTTTCTTAATTACGCGTTGAATTTTCATATAGTTCCGATAAAGCGATACCACGCTTAAACAAACTTTTCTTTCCCATGATACGAGATGATATGAAAAGCTATGAATAAGTCATCAGAAAATCAACCTCGCGTTGACTTTTTATTTGGCAACTATATTGACCTTCAACTTATTGACTGGAGTTATCTATCACTATTATCATCCTGTAAACCTACAGGCAATTCCAAGTTAAAAATTTTGTTAAGGTTACAGTATACATTCGGGTCAGCAATTTTCTTCAAATGTAGCTTTTTGTGTCAAAGTAGTCGTCGAAGAATAATCTCTAATTTCAGAAAAAAAATTGAAAAAGGCTAAATATTGGCGGAGAAATGGCAGTTTTTCGTTTTCACCGGAAGTAAAAGTTCACTTCTTGATTGACAGCCCTATGGCGCGTATGCAATCAACTGAGACGATTTCCGCGAGAATTACCAGTGTACGGATGTCACGAATTGACTTCTCAGTTGATCAGCCTTGTTGTTCCGACTGCTAAGCATTTTTGGTATGAGGTGTAACTCTATTAAGTTATAAGTAAACATAGACCACGTTAAAAACATAAACCAGTTCGAAAAAGCGAAAACAGCGAAGAACGAGTGAAAATACATCAATGCGTGAAGAAGCAAAAGTTCGCTACGCGGATGAAGCTGATATAGCTATGGTATAAATAGGCTCGATTACCAGCCGCTGTTCGGGAAAGGAGCCCGCGCTCCTCCCCCGAACTCACGGCTGGACTCGTGGACTTGGTATTGTTAATTTCAACCAATAAGAAATCTANCGCTTTGACTTGTAGCTTTCGAAAGGTGATTCGGGCGCTCGCAATTCATTTTATTTCAAAATTCTGGGTATTGTTTGATAGCCAGCTCTATAAGCTTTAATTTGATATAGGGGTTTAGGTATCTACAGCTTAAACTGCACGCGCTACATCGCTTGCACACGAGACACCCCTGAAGGCATACGGTAACCTTAATTGATATCTTAACTTACCTCCTTTCGCGAAGCCAGTAATGCTAATCCACACTGCAACTAAAGCAACATTGGCAGAATGGCAGAAAAGAGAAAACCCATCTCTCGTTTTCTTTGAACAACCATGAAAACACAACCTCATTGTGCAACTTGGATAAAGACTGATGTACAGAAAGGTTCGGAAGCAGCCGGCTTGCTTAACTGATTAACCCATTGTCAGCTGCAATTATTAAAGCTGGTGTAGAACGTACTAGTTTATTTAACGCGTAAAAATTAAAATTTGGTTTTAAAATTGAAAACATCAGGGGATGTTTAATCATTTATGGAATGTCAATAATTTATCGAAGAACATAAGTCACTCGCCTCCCGGCACTCAATATTCTAAAACTGTGAAAGTAGTTTCATTTGGTTTTTGTTTTTCTAACGTTACCAGGACTATGCCATCTTACTGCACCTTTCAATAACAGGAACACTCTGATCAACAGTTTCGTTTTTCGCTGCCGTCAATTATCTTACCGGACCTCTCAGGACACAGAAGTTTATTTCGACGGGTTCAAAAGGTCACGTCCGTGGGTTCTGATTGGTAGACTTCGATTCTTCTTGTTCGTTTTTTCTTTGTTTTTCAAAGTTCGTTGGTTATCGTCGTAATGGTGATTGACGACAGCCAAAAAAGGAAATCGTTAGGTTTTGAACTTCAGAGTTCGCATGTCATTTTAGGGAAACTGATGCTTATAATTTGTATTTTAGTAGTATGATTGCTACCAATATCAATACTTTTGTTACCGATACCGATATTTTCGATATCGAAAAGTCGTTTCCGTCTCTTAAGTACAACCGTACAAGCTTGATCTGCTTGATCTGCTTTAAGTAATAACACTGACGTTCACTACATGAGGTAGAGTTGATTCAAAAAGCTCTGCGTTTATTTATCAAGGTCTCACTTAATGTTTCTCATTTTTTAATTAATTTTCTTACCATTTTGATTCACGGTCAGGAAATAAAAGCAATTTGTCGTTTACACCTCACTCCGTTTCGATATTTCATAAAAAAAACGGACCGATCTAACAGTGTTGTCGTCATTATGAGGTCAATTTTGGTGTCTTTTCATATTCTAATTGAAAGAAAACAAAGTTTACCTTCTAATGAGGATTCATTTCCGACGGTCAGCAGGAATCACTAATAAGCAATTTTGTTCGGGGAGCAATCAAACTCGGCCAATACAGTTGATCCCGCTGTGTTACGATAACATATTCCTTTAATAGTGAACTATCACCTCGTTTGGATCAAACTTAAATGTTCATAGCATCCAGTCGATTTATAATTTAAGAAACTTGAGAATTTTGTAAAATAATCATTCCATTCGCCCTCGTTGGCGCCTACAAAATAGGCGCTACAAGCCTCGTTAATTATTTTATTATCAACACGTATCCAGCTCAGGCTCATTAACACAATTGTTGATCATAACTGAGTTTTACATTAGGTGCGGCATGTGTCGCTGGGCTTGAAATGTTTCAGCAGAAAGCGTGAAGCGGTAAGCACTAAGTTCCTTTGGAGAAATGCTGAAATCAGTAGATTTGGGAAGCTTGGAGCGCCCAGAACTACCCTGGGTACATCTCCCACTGTGGTCACATGGACTGGCACGTGAAGCGCGGGTGACATGACAGTTCTGGTCTGGTTTGAATTACATGGCTTCCGAGGGAATAAAAACTACACCCGTGGAAAATGTTCCTAATTGGAAGTCTTGGCTGTCGTGCCGTTTATGTGACGCTATTGTTGTGTGTAATAGTGGATATTACAGCCTTGTATCGGAAAATGCTCAAAAACTTAAAATTTTCTAAAGGAACTCGACACTTTTCACTTTTCACTGTCGAGCACGACAATCCGTCCGTCAGGTCGCGTATTCTCTGTAAGAAGTGCTAAGCGAGTGTCAAAGAAGTCGCAAATTCAAACTGAGAATATTACAAAAAGAATCTTGTCCTTTAGAAAGGAGAAACTACAAATAACAATTACAATCGGACTCTTTGCATGTCTTTGGGTAGTGGCTGTAGCCCAAATTGTGTACTTCGACACAGAGTCCAGGAATTGGTTGAAATAACAACAATTTCCCGAACATCACGAGCCAGAGCTAACCGGAAGCTCAAAAATTCGCCAGGTCCGGTTGCTATGAGGTGATGTCATTTATCTGTTAGGTTGCTGTCATCACAAGACTTTTGCGGTTCTATTGTGGTTAGCGATAATTGCTTTCAGTGAAAGTAATTGTGTACAAAAGTAACCTGGTTATTTTCAGATATGATCTGGCCTCATAATTGATATTTTATAATAAATTTTCATAACGCGGGAACATTGCGCGGTCATATATAAGAAAAAAGACTTCGACTTCGAATGAACCCGTCATCGGTTGTTGAAAACGGACACAAAACGAGATGTGCCTCTGAGTTAGAAGATATGGTGTCTCTCTGACGCATTTGTGTGAAATTGAGCCAGTTTCCAATCGAATCT